ATTTTTAAAAATAATTTACTTGATTTAATTTTATTTAATTATTTTAGCTGAAACATCAAAACTCATTTCATTAATTAATTTTTTGTTTTTATTCTTATATTTTTTTATTTATTTAAGTAACATATTAATTATTAAATATATTATTTAAATTAATTATTGTTTCATCAAAATCATTTGATATTTTAAATTATTCATATATACTATTTAATTTTTTATTATTTTTTCTTGCAAACTTTAATAATTCTTTAAAATCTTCATCACTAAATTATTTTCTTATTTTATTTAAAGACAAAAATTCTATTAATTCAAATACTCTATCTTAATTAACAAAACTTATTTTTTATAAAAAAAATATATATTATTTAAACTAAAATTTATATATATATACTCTGTAAAGCTTCCATCTTTCTTTTAAAAACATGATTCTGATCCAAAATTATTTACAACAGAAAAACTATTTTCTGTATAAGTATTATCTTCGTTTTGTACTTTTTTTAATATAAACTATTAAATTGTATTTATTATTTCATCTGATATTTAATAGTTTAATTCTATTTCTCTTTCAAAAACTAATTAACTTCCATGAAAAAACCTTAAATTATATACATAATTATTTATATATTTTTATTTTAAAATTTTAAAAACTCAATAAATAAGTATTATCTGAAGGTTAAAATGGTCCTCTTTATCTTTTAGAGGGATATAATGAATAATAAAAGTTTATTTAAGGAAAATTTTATTAATAAGAACGAGATAATAAAGGACCATATTATTTCATAGTATTCTTTTCATCCAAAAATAAAAATGTAAATATTTATGTGCTTCCTTCTTTTATTATATTTCCCATAAAAGCTTCATAATCTTCTATATAAAAAATATTATGTTCTTCATTCTTTTTATTTTTTATTTTTTTTTTAATTTTAAAATTTAAACTTAATTTTTTTTTAAATTTAAACTTAAATATAATTATTAAATTAATTAATATTATGATTTAATATATATATATATATATATATATATATATATTTTTTTTTTTTTTATTGTTCTTCTTTTTTTTTAAAAAAAAAAAGATAAGTACTTTTATAGAATTTTAACGATTATTTATTCTATGTTAATCAGCTGATTTATTTCTATACTGACTTTTTGTCTATCCATTATAACGCCTAGACATATTTTAGGTTGGAGTAGATAAAATTTTTTAATTTTCACTTGTATCTGTGCTATTATTATAATTAACAATAAGTTAAAATTTCTATCCACTTTTAAAATTCTTTGATAAATTGCAAAATTCAACAATATCATAAACTGATTTTGCTAGAAATATATATTAATGAAATTTAAATTAATTATTTTATATTTGTTTTATTTACATTATTTATCAACTAATCCTAATATTTGTCCTTAAATTTAAAATACTTCCTTTAATAGTTAATCAAATGTTTAATAAGTAATATTTTCTCTTATATGGAATTCCATACTAATATTATTATACATAATTTAAGTCGAAGTTGAATGTTATTATTAATGTTAAATCATATTTATTTATTTTTACAAATAATATTTGAAAAAAGACTATTTAATTTTTATTTGATATTTGATTTTTATTTATATATATATATATTTTTTTTTTTCTTAATTATTTAATATTAATTTTTATTATTTTTTAAAATATCAAAAAAAAAAAAAAAAAAATATTTTTTTTTTAAAAAAAAACAAAAAAAACAAAAAATAACAAAATATACTAGTCATTAATTAATTTAAAAATTATGCTTTTTTTATAAATAATTTAATAAAAAATAAAAATAGATTTTTTATTTATTTTTTTAATTTCATTTTTATCTTTAAGTTTATTTCTATAAATACAACCTTTTTTCAAATTCTTCCATTTATGAATGATAGGAAACAAAAATTTTATTATAACTAGAAGGCTATTAGGAATCATATTTGTCACTATAAGCATCTGCATCTATATCACCATATAGATCATCGTCAATATCTAAAGGTTCTTTATCAATATTTATAGGTAATTTATTAGTATTAAGAGATTCTTTATTATTATTTTTACATGAAATATTATTTTCTTTAGTCTGATTTTCAGGAATTTCTTATAAGTCTTATATTTTTAAATTTTCTTTTATTTAAAATTAATCTTTTTTTTATTCATCTTCTAATTATTTAGAATTCTATTTTTTCGGAACAACCAAATCAGTAATAATTTAAATATTTTCGTCTATTTTTTAATTATTTAGTACACTTTTAACCAATTATTTATCTTAAATTTTCTAAGGAATTAATATATTAGATAATGCGATATTATCAAGAGCACTAATATCTGATCTAACTCTGTAAAATCTAATAAAGTTTTCATATTACAAAGATTTACTTTCTTTTAGTTTAGGTATAAAGAATCTATTTTTAATATGAATTTTATTTAAAAAAAAAATAAGATATTTTTATTTGTTATATAAAATTAAAAAATATATCAAAAACTAAAAAAAAAATAAAAAAAAAAAATTGCTAATTATTTTATTAATTAATTATGTTAATAAATTAAAAAAAAATAATATAAAAAGAAAAAAAAAAGAAAAAAATAAATAAATAATATATATATAAATATTATAATGTATAAAATATATATATATATATATATATATATATATATATATATTTATTTATATATATTTATATATATTTATTAATTACTGATTTTAATTCTCTAACTAGATACTTTTTGTTGATAAATCTAAATTATCTTTACTAATATCTGATTTTTTATCATTCTAAGATTATTATTACTATTATTATTGTATTATTATTATTATTATTATTATTGTTATTTTTTTAATTATTATTATTAATATTATTATTATTATTCAGTTTTTTATTTTTATTCTTATTAATTTTAAGATATTTTAATTTCTTTTTTTAAATCATCATTTGTATCTTCTAATTATTTTTCTTATTCCCTTTTTTTTTATAAATGTTAAATATTTATAATTACAAATATTTTTACATTTTTAAATAAATTGGATAGTCTTTCCAAAAATATATATTTGAATGAATTTTATCTAAAACTTCTTAAATATTTTAATTAATTTCTTTACAAGTTTACCAAATTGATAAAATTCCGTTTTCTCCTGCAACAGCTAAATACTAACCTTCTTAAGAAAAGCTTAAGCATTATATATCGAATAGATTATTAATTTCTCCTATTTAATTACCAGTACCAACTTCATAAATTATCACACTATTTTATTTCCTATTTACATTTTCTTAAAAAAACAAATTATTTTTTCCATTATTCTATTATTATTATTATTAAAATCTATTATTACTTTAACAACTAATAACAAAATATAATCCACTGGAATCTAAACTAATACCTATATATATATATATATATATATATAAATAAAAAAATTTACATATATAAATAAATTAAAAATATATATAAAATTAATATATAAATATACTTTAAGCATATTTAGGAATTTCTATTTTCCCTCTTAATTCTTAACTTTTAATATTAAAAAGGAAAACATATCCGATTTTGGAAATAATTAGAACATATATATTACTACAATGTAATTCAAAAGATTAAATAAAATCATCAATAACAAACTTTGAAACAACTAAATTACTAATTTTTCCATTCCCAATTTCATTAATATGATGTAGATTTAAGGTTTTTCCATTTGCTATAATAAGACATTGAAAAAAAGTATCTTATTTTTACTAATAAATATTATGAATTTAATATGAATTATTGTTATTTATTGAATTATTATTTATGAAAATACTTTTATCATTATTTATTTTTTTCTAAACATTTTCTGATTAATTTAATATCTCTTCTAAAAAACATATTTTTAAATACTATATGTTAGAATCTATAGGATCTTATATTTTCGCAATTACCTCAAGCCTATTTTTACAATCTAAAATAACACCAAGTCCTGTTTTTATTTGTATTCCTAAATACCTACCTCCAGGACTTAAACAAATAGAACATATTTAATATACAGAAACATTATATTAATTAATAAAATTGCCTGTTTTGGAGTCATAAATATATATATTACCTCTGTTATCTCCACAATATAAAATATTTTTTTAATAATTTAAGGCCATACATTTGATTTATAAATCACCATATTAAGGATTCGAATTTAAATAAATATCAAGAATATTAATTTATTTAGGATACCATTTATCATTACTGTATGCCCATATTATTATTGTAGAATCATCTGAGCATGTTATTATTTATTTATTTTGCCATTTAATTTCATTTATTTTACTTTTATGTCCTTATAATTAATTAAGTATAATTTTTTTTTCCAAATCATATATAATAAAGAAATTATTTGAAAAGTGAATAGCTATAGTATTTGAGTTTGCTTTTTTTTTCATTTTATTTATTTTAAAAAAAATAAAATGAAAATAGTGTATTTACTTAAATTTTTGATTTATTTAATATGATTTTTATGTATTAATTTAAATTATTAAAATTCAGAAATTTATATTTGATTTAATAATTTGCTTGTACTTATATTATATACAAATAAAGATCCTAAAGAAGTTCCCGTAAATAAATAATTTTAAAAACAACATAAACACTTAAAATTTATATTATTTTCTTTTATTTATGAAACTATTTATCCCTAAATATAAAAAATAATATAAATAAATAGTTATATGTATATATAAATATAAATATAAATATATAAATATACATATATATATTTATATATATATATTATTTAAATATATTTTTTTTAATATATAGTTTTGTTAATAAACAAATATAACTTACTTCTGTATTTATAATTATAATAAATCCAGTTTTTAAAATAACGCAAATTAAATTAAAAATTTCGTTTGTTTTAATATTTTGAATCTCTTCTTTTATATGAATTCTATTTCTTAATACAGGATTTTTATTTTCTTGTATGTTATAAATTTTTATGCATTTTATTTCAGCGCATATTAATTAACATATTAAGTTTGATTGTTCAATATTTTCTAAAAAAATAATCTCTTGATTTTATTCTTCATGAATAATATTATTCATTTGAAGTTTTTCGTTTTTTAATTCCCAAGTACAAAGCGAAAACCCTTAATTATTATATTCATTTTAAACAATAAACAATAAATTATTTTTATTATTATATTTTGCTAAAATATTCTTATATTGGCTTTAATTATCTTTTTTTAAGGTAAAAAAACTTACTATACTCTTCTTAAACTTTCCCATTCACTAACAAATATTGCTTCTTTATAATTTCCATTTATACTAATTATATATTTATCATTATTTGCGAATAAAATACACTAAACATGAGTTTCATGTGAATGCAATTTTATTTTTTTATCAATTTCAAGATCCCATAAAAGAATACTATTTCCAGAATTATAGGCTATTATTTTTCTCGTTTAATGAAAATCATATATTTATGGAACATTTATACTATCTAATATTTCAAAAGACATTTTTTTTTTTAAAAAAAAAAAAAAGGAAATATTTAATTAAAATTTATTTGTTTAAAAAAATATATTGGATTTATTAATTAGGTAAATAATTATATTTTTATGTAAAAAATTAAATAATTAAAAAAAATTTTTTTTTTACAATTATAAATAATCATAAATTTTGGTTATTTTTTTTAAAAAAAAAACAAAACAATTTTGTGTTTATTGATAACTGTACATTGATTTTCATTTTATTTTTAAATATATATATATATATATATAATTCTAAAAAATATATATAATATAATATTATTATATCAAAAAATTTATATTTATAATAATATATTAAAAGTTTGTATTAGTTTATTTTTAAAAATATAAATTTTTTTATGAATTTTAAAAAAATAATAAATCATTCTAAAAAATATAATTATAAATTAAAGCTTAATATTTTTTTTTATTATATATAATATATTATTTGTTTTTTTTTTTATAAAAATAAAAAATTTATATTTTATTTATTTTTCTATTTATTTTAAAAAAAAAATATTTAATTTTTTTAAAATAATATAACAATAATAAGTTATTTATTCTAGAATATTTTTTATCAATATTTTTTTTATTTTTAATTCATAGTTCATATAATTTTTTATAAATTAAATATTATTTAAATAAAAAAAAATATCAATCTAATATAAATTGTTACTTATTTTGAATAATAAATTTAAATATATATATTTCTTATGTCTAATATATAATAAATCAATTTAATTTAAATTTTTATAAAAATATATTTATTAATATATTTATATATATATTTTTTATTTACTTTTATTAATTTGTTTATATTTTATAATTTTTAATCAAAATTTTTATAAAAAAAAAGTATATTTGATTATAATATATTATTTCTTTATAAAAATTTTAATTTATTTTTGAAATTTATAAATATATTTTTTATTCTTTACTGAATAAATTTTAATGTGTTTTTGTTTTATTTTTTTAATTTAAAATAATAAATAAATATATTAATAATAATATGTTTGTTTATAATTTTCATTTTTAAAAATGTAATTATATATATATATTTTTTTTTTAATAAAAAAGTCTAAAATATCATTCAATTAAAAATTTCTAGAATAAAAAAATAATATATTATTAGATTAATAACTTTAAAAATTATTTTCAATTATTATAATAATATTTAATTTAATTTACGTCATATTATTTCAAAAAATTAATATATATTATATCATTTAATAAATTACAGTTTTAAAAATCAATAAAATATTATATAATTATTTAAATAAAATGAAATAATAAATTTTATAAACTTAGCTAATATAATATATATTATAAAAATTATATAATTTTAAATTATTAATAAAAATTAATAATTTTATAAAATAAAAAAAGAACAAAAGAACAAAAATATTATTTTATTCAATTTATAAAATGCCGACAGAAAATTAGAATTCTTATGTATAAACAACCTTTAAAATACACTATAAATCACATTATGGTCTTTCACTTTATATATTAGGTGATATACCAGAATTAGGATAATGGAATATATAAAAAAGCATTTAATTATAATGGAATAATGTAAATAAAAAATTCCATTTTTTTAAAAAAATAAATAAATATTTTTTTACAAATAGGATGATTACTGGACAACTACTATAGATCTTCCTAAAATAATATTTGATTATAAGTTTTTTATTGCAGAATATTATAATAAAACATAATAATAATTATGGGAAAAAGGACCAAATAGAACTATTAATTTATAATAATTTAACTAAAAATAATTGAATATTGGTAAAAAAAAAATTACAAATGATTTTATTTTTTCTTTAAAATAGAGAATGTTTGGGAGTATAAAAGAATTGTTTTAAGATTATTTTAAGAATAAAATGAAGAATCTTCTAAAAATATAGAAAAAATTCGATATTATATAACTGGAGATCAGAATGTATTAGGAAATTTAGTTTATATGTAGAATATGACAAAATATAAATATAAATAAAAAAATAAAAGAATAAATTATTGGGAAATAGCTTTTTTGTAAAATCAAGTGTTTAAAATATTAAATATAAATATATTTAAGTTAAAGGAGAAGAAACTATTTTTGAAAGAAATTTTAGAAATATAAATTTTTCTAAAAATAAAGTTGATTATTTAGGATATTTTAATGAATTTGATTATTAAGAAAATTAAAACTTTAAAATTGATTAAATAAATGAAAATATATATATAGGTAATTTTTATTTTTTATAATATATTTGTTATATATATATATTATTTTTTATATAAAATATAATCATTTTTTATATAAAAATTAAAATTAATAAAAAATAAAAATATATAATAGGTCCATATATTCAAAGCTAAAAATAAATTAAATAACTAAAACTTTTAGGAATAAATGCAGTTTTTAACTTATAAACATTTGAAGATATGTAAAGTCACAGAATAAATTGGATATAAATAAAATCATATTATGAAAAAAATAATATTTAAATATATCATTTTCCAATTATTGATATGAATATAATAGATATGTCATAAAAGTTATAACTTTGTTCAGAAAACTTAAATAATATTTTAAATAAGCATAAAGTAATATAAATATAATTTATAAAAAATTATATATTTTTTATTTAAAGAAAGTTTATATACATTGCACTTAAGGTATTTATCGATCTCCTACAGTTGTAATTGGATATTTAACTATTTATAAAAATATAAAGATATAATAAGCTTTAAAATTAATTTAGAAAAAAAGAACTATAAATATAAAAAGTATTTAATATTTAATGAAAATATTATATGTCAAAAATAACAAAATAACATTAATTAATACTTTGTAAACATGAATAGTATTTTATAATATAAATAAAATTAATATGTTTTTTAAATATATAAATATAATTAAATAAAATATAAAATTAATCATTTAATATATATATATATATATATTTTATTTATTAAAAAAATGCATATATTATATAAATTTATTAATAATAAATAAAATAAATATTTATATATATATAGATATATTTATATTTATTTTTAAAATAATATATATTTACCATTTTATAAAATATTATTTTTATATAAATTAAAAAATATTTATATTTAATTAAAATTAATATTATTTAAAATAAAATCAATTGAATAAAAAAAAAAAA